CAGATGGATACCTTGTTTGTCTGATAGTATTGAATGTTACTGAAAGGTCTGATAGGGCAAGAAGGGCTGCGGTTTTCAATCCAGGTCCCAGCAAAGGTCATCCATCAGAGTGAATAATGAGGGGTTATGCTTCATGTATGGAATTTTCCCACTGACAATTCTGAATGTATCAATTCAAAATGCACTTCAGATGACTTGATTCAGCTAGGGACTGGGACGTGATGAAAGCATCTGTCTGCATACATGTCAGAGGTTGAGAAATGGTGCTCCAGTTGTTGCTGATTTCCCACCCCTAATCTATATTGATATCTCAGGTGACTCTGTATACCTGGCAAAAATCCATTACTGTTGTACACAGAGAAGTTCAACACTTAATGGACCCTTTGCAGTTGAGCTTCAGACCAGAGTATAGTATGGAGACGGTGTTGGTTGCACTTGTCAATGACCATGGCAGAGCCGGAATGGAGGTGGCGCATCCATCCTTGCGCTCCTTGATCTCTCAGCAGCTTTCAATACTGCCGACCAGTTTCCTTCCGGACCAACTGTGGGGGATGGGAGTGGGAGGTACTGTGTTGTAGTGGTTTAATTCCTTCCTCAATGGTCAGTTCCAGTCCATGTTGAGGGGAGAGGAGAGATTGCACCTACGGCCCTGCAGTTGGGTGCCCCAGGGTTCGACACTTCCCCCCTTCTGTTTAACATCTACATGAAACCACTGGTGAGATCATCTGTTAGTTTGGGGTTTGGTATCATCAGCATGCTGATGATACCCAGATTTACATCTACCCCGGGTTGTGCAAGGAAAGCTGTTGAGTATTGAACCAGTGTCTGGCGGCTGTTCAGATCTGGATAGGGAGGAACAGATTTCAGCTCAATCCTGCCAAGACTGAGTGGCTGTAGCTGTTTGGCCCCCTGGGTCAAAGACATCTCCATCATTGGTCTTGGATGGGGTTGTACTTCCCCATTTGGTGAGCAACTTAGGGGTCCTCCTGGACTCACAGCTACTGCTCAGCACAGTAGCAGCTGTGGCCAGGAGGGCCTTTATACAGGCACATCTTGTAGGCCAGCTTGGTCCCAGGCCTGGGGTTAACATGATATGGGTGGGTGGGCCTGTTGTGCTTTGTTTTAATGGTTGTCTGGGCTGTGTTATTTTATGCTTTTGTTTTAATTTAGTATTACATTTTGTAAGCCCCCCAGAGTCCACTAGAATGGGTGGCTATATTAAATGTAATAGTAATAACAACACTTCACATGTCTTGGCCTTGATTATATGTAAACCTCCTTGGACAAGAGAGATCCTTGGAATCAAGATGCCAGAGTGAAATTTAAAAGACTGCAAGGCTGAGCTTCTAGGCTTGTTACCTGCAATGTTTTAAAGCATCACAATTCTACACCTTCATTTCTATGGGAAAGACAATTTTTCCCCCATAGGAAAGTGAGCACATAAACTAAAGACCACCAGTTGAATACATAAGAATATCTTTAAAATTTATTTGACTAATTGTGTTACATTCAGTATCTGATGTGTTTCTTCCGGACAAGGAGTTGGCATAAATACAAACAAGCCTTTGTGCCTTCTCTAAACAAGAGATAAAATACTAGAGACAGAGGAGCACAGCTTCACATCTTTGTATTTACAGTCTACCTTTACAACTTGGTGCTAAGATTATTTACAGAAAATACAGTAAGAACAAAAGATCATGTCTTGGCAACATATAGAACTTTATACATAATTGTACATGATTTTAAGCAAATGGTATCTAGCCATCTCTTTCAAAGCACTCTTGAAACACCTCTTTAAAGATACCTTCTTATGATTGTGAACTTATCACTGAATCACGGTTGTATTTTTGTTCCCTGTTCATCTTAAATTGTAGTCCTATAATCCCCGTGCCAAATATTCGGCTGCATGACAATTGTATTCTTCCTGACTGGGAAGCAACTTCAAATATTGGGCAGTCCAATTCTCAAGGCATTCCTATCTGTTCATGACCCATTGAAGCAAATAAGATTCTGAGGATTGGAAACAAGCTTTGTTTCCTACAGCTGTGTTCCAGCTGCTCTGCATACAGATTAGCTACTTACTTCAGACATGATTCCGATCAGCTCCCTCAAGTTCGTATGTATGTATGTATGTATGTATGTGTGTGTGTGTGTGTGTGTGTATGTATGTATGTATGTATATATGTATATATATATATATATATATATATATATATATATATATATGCATGCTGTACATTAATAAACGCTTGAAAATCTGCATAAGAAAAGGGCTTTATTTTTTAAGTGAAAACTTTTTGCTGAAGGTACTAAAACATATCTTTTATATGGAAGTGCTATGAAGATTGCATTTTCTTGCTCAATTTATAGCAATATAATGATCTATTAAAAGGATGGTAACCACATCTTACGACAAAAACAGACAGGATAAATATGTGTAGCCCTAATATTATATCTCATCAAGAGACTAGAATGAAAGAGTACAAAATGAAATGATAATAGGAAACAAGCAACATTAATGGTAGGAAAGCTATCTGCTTTATAAATTTATATTCTCTTTAATTACCTTGTGGAATAGTATTCAAAATAAAATTTGGAAATGTAATTGCTACCCTGAAATTTATTTATATTAGACAACTTTCTCCAAATTACTGCCCTCCAGAAGTGTTGGATTCCCAAAATTCCCAGGATGGGATGGCCAGCAACATCTGGAAGTACATTGTATCAGCTTGGGGCAGGCTAATATAGGATGTCTGAAGTTTCATTGATCCAAAAATTAAATTTTCAGATGTGACTATTTCTGAGAGGTCTAGACAAAACATTTTATTGCAATCAACAGTTCTGCACAGAAAATAGAAAGTTACCAGTGCATTTGGAAGCCTTCTCAACTATACACAGAAAACACAACCAGCATTTGTACAAGAGGACCACATCATATGCATTATCTGAGAGAATGCAATGAAAGTAAGCCCTTATAAGTTTCTTTTAAACACTCAGTGCTGTTTGATTCAATTTCTGTTGCATATTCTGCCTTATAATTTTTATCAGCAGTATCACAAATAGGCCTCAACACCAAGACTTTTTGTGCAGTAATAAACAGATTTAAATTAGGAGGATTTATGCAAGTAGATTCAGGACAGATTGCCTACTTGAGAGCTTTTTTGAATCTACACTAAATTAAGGCTGCTTAAAGCAAATAATAAAGTCCAATCAAGCCATGGGGATAAATTCAGATGTGCAGAAGAAAAAGGAACTTGTGGGGAAAGAAAAAAAAACCCTCTTTACAAGCAAAATGTTTCTTGTGGCTTTATAGAAGAGTCTAACAGACTAAAATTTATTTTACTGAGCTATAGATCTTTAAACTTGAATGGATAGTTAAAGGCAATTTATTTTAAGTCTTGTCCTGTTTCTAATTAGTTTAAAAAACCATTGTGAATTTCTTTTACACATGTTTAATTCAAGATATTTTGACAAGTTGTTAGTAATCATATTAACTAGTGGGTTTGTCCAGAGTACATATATGATTCAAACAATTATAGCTAAGTCAGCAATTGATGTATATATGCAGACTCTCAATTGTGGTATTTTTTATGGTAGCCATGCATTGGTCATGCCATTTAATCTAGGAACAAAATGTGACTGGTCAATTTATAAAGCTAAGCAATATCTAGGCAAGTTTACAATTATTTTAGTGCTCATGCACTGGATTAACATTGGCAAGTCTTCAGTATCAAATACAATGTGCTATATAAATACCTATATACCTCAGGATCCCCACTGGCCTTGCTATTTGCTGTTCCAGTCCTGCCTTAGAACCACAAAACTTGGCAGACTTTGGAATTAGGTTTATTGTTTGTCCTTATTTTCCAAACAGGTACATTTGGACCTACCAAAATAACAATAATCACCCTGCTAATTCAATACAACCATCTTGTCCATTACTGAATCTTCTCTTAAAACTATTGTTTTTAGGGTCACTTTTCTCTTCAAAAAGGTCACAATTTAAGAAATAAAGGTTATCCCTCTTAGAAGAATATTGGGTAGCAAACAATTCTCATTACTAATTGTTAGAAACCAGCTGCAAAGTAGGTATTACACACACACACACACACACACACACACAGAGTCACAGCTAGTAATTTTTTCAACTTCTCTTTTAGCAAATTGGTCCACACTTGAATGCTGTTCCTTTTTTGACATAACTTTACTATAAAGAAAAGAAAAGAAGAAAGAAAAGATTCCCACTGTTAGGTTTGTCCCAAAATGCTTTTCCTTGGAAATTTATTTCAAAAAATAACTTTTGCAGGCACTGAATGAGTACAGTTTGCCTGTTCCCCTGCCTGAAAGCATCTCCTTACATATCAATATTTAGAATGATATGAAAAGGAACCTTCATATGTATATATTTTATACATATATTTCCTTTTAATTCTATGCCATGTGCCCTGGTAAAATTGGATATAAAAAAGGAAAAGCACGAACAACTTATGAAGTGTTTTGCAACAGATTGTTGCCAGCAAGAGTAAGAGAATCAATATTCACATTTTATGATATAGACTTACTTTGCTAAACAAAATGAATTTACCATAATAATTAATTTTAGAATGGAATGGGTCTAACAATATAACACACAGATAAAGGTTTACTTGCTGGCGATGATTACTGGCCATTTGTTCATCAAAGTAAGTCAACTAAAGAGATTTTCATGTTTAAAACCAAAATATTGAATGAGCTCCCTACTAAGTATCCAAGGCATATTTAATATTACAAGTTCCTTATTCTTTTAGATTTATTCTCTAAATCAGCTTTGTTTCAATAGCAGAGAAGGAGTTACTAGACTGTTTATTACTTTAATACATAGGTGACCAGTCCTAAATATTATGGGGTTATTATGAAGTTAATCCAGTGACTTTGTGGCAAAGTGTTTAATTTTCAACTGTGGCAGCAGTGTTCTATAATGAACCAAAAATATTCTCATCTCTACTCTATTATGATGGTTGAAAAAAAAAGGAAACAAAACAAAAAGAACAAAGCACCAAATTGTGTTGGAAAATCAGGAAGTGAATTCTTGCTGGCCTAAATATCTCCTGATATATTTATTAAGAACTACATTCCACTGAATCAATAGGAACTATTTTCAAATCCAGGCTCATAGGATCTTTTTGATTGTTTACCCATGCTCCCCAAAAAGATTTGTCTCTGAAATGTTCTGGATACTCTCTGGGAAGAAATTATTTCCATTTACAACGTGTGTGGGTTAATGTTTAGATGTGTTAACAAAAGTTCTCTAAAAGCATTTCTATCCTGCCCTATGTCTACCTCAGCCATTAACTATATAATCTTCAGAGCTATACAAAGATTTTCAAGGCTTGTAGACATTACAAGAGTCTCATGCCTGGCATCTACCAAAAACTGTAGATCCTGTTAACTTCTAGTAGTACAGAACACAGCAGTCAATACAAATGAAGGAAGACCATCTTTCAACCATCATGCAACATGTATTTTGTACAAATTGGTGTTATGATGTTATTAGGCCAGGGGTGGGGGAGTACGTTGGCAAGAGTGCTCAGTTTTTGGCAGAATCATCCCTTCCAGTATTACATTCTAGTATGCTATACCTACAAGGCCCCCCCCCCCAATTTTTTTAGAGAGTTGCAACTCTTCTGAAATATGTATTTAGCCCACATATGTATTTTAACAACAATTTTATGACCTCATATTAAACTTGTGTGTTCTTTATTTCCCTTGACACTAGATAGTGAATGCCTGCCAAGTCCGGCATTCAGCTGAAATGACTGAAAGTGTGACTGTGATTCTGAAATCTTTAATTTAGGTTTCAAGTAGTAGCTAATTTTCATGTATTGAGTATATAGGTGTGTTTACACATACAACACACATCCAACTGTACCAAATTCCATAACAAGGGTTTTGCTTATCTTTCAGAAAATTGTGGTGGACAGCTCAGATGTCATCAACACAGGCATATTTCAAAACTAACCACTGGACAAGGATGAACCATTTGTATTCCAAAGAAGGTATTTTTGCTTCTCTCTCAAGCCAATAGCTCAAGATTTTTATTCTGGACAGACCAGCAGAAGACAAAGACAATAACAACTTACAAAGATAAAACATTTAGCAACCAGTCCATGGCTTTGAAAGTAGAGGACAAGATCCAAATAGAATTTTCTGGTTAGATGTTAAATAAAATCATATATCCAACCTGCTTGTAAATGGGAACGCAAACCAAGCAGGCAGACACACAAATAATTTATCTAAAATAATTTGCCCTTGAGTCTAATCTGCTAGAGAAACCAAATATGAAACTTTAGGTGTTAACTCTATGCTCAGAATCTGGCTTTTTTTTTTTTTTTCCAAACATAGGAAATCATGAGAAGTGTAGTTAATCTTCTATTTGCTATACATCCATTATATTGTCTATTAATAAATAATTATTCATTATCAAAGCTTGTCTCTCTGTAGCATCTGAAGGTGTGATGATGTGCTCAGGATTGCAGGACTGGAGCCAAAAGCAAGTCCTCTATTTTCTTGCAGTAGAAGCAGAAGTCATGCTCAGAATGTGGTTTGTTTACACAAGAGGTCCATGAGTGGGAAGATTTTATTTCATTGTTGCAGACACCAAGCTGCAATTTAATTGTTCAAAGAGGGTCCTGGTCTAAGGATTACAGTTTTTAAGTCCAACCTCTTGAAAAAGAGAGGTATAAAACTCTGGTTCCAGCTGTTTGTTTCTGTATTTATTGACAATGTCAGCTATTTTCTGTTTTCGACGGACATGAGGGGGATTGTATGAGTCACTTTCCAACCTTTTTCTTCGACAAATATTTATTACTGTCTGTCTCACTAAGAACCCTTAAATAAAAAGGGAATAAAGTTAATACAGTTTATTACACTCAGGAATATAATTAAAAAAAAAGATTTTTCCTTTCATTTTTATTCTAACAATTTGAATATATAGCCAAAACATCAAACAGCAATAAACAACAGATATCATTTTATCCTATATTGTTTGTTAGATATAATGATAGATACAGGAGGCCTTGAGATGTAATATATAACTGTGGAGTAAGTTTCATACTATTACAGAATTAGCAATTTCAGTGTCTAGTTACTTCATTCTGAATGCAGACTTATCCTAGGAAAGTTTAAAAGGGCTGAAGATAAGGAACCTGTTGTCCTCTAGATACTGCTGAACCACATCATCCAGCAATCATGACTAGAGGGGAAATCCAAATCCTGGATTCTGTTTCCATACCAGCCACTGCTGGCACAGTAGACTGTAACATTGGATTATGCTCCCATTCTTGGCTGATTTCTTTCAACATTAGGAATCTGCAATATTGTAAAGAACTAAGAAGTAATGGGGATTGGGAGGAGCAGGGTCGGAAGGATGGAGGATCTGAATCCTTACTACTCCCGATTCTCACTATCCCACCAAAACAGTAATTACGTTTAGATTGCCTTGCACATCTGACTTGAGGTTGTACTATGGACTGACAGAAAGTTGAGTTTATTGGAGTACTCCAATAGATCTCTTACTGTTGGAAGTTCTCACTAACATTTTAGGAATGTTATTAGTACATATACCTGTAGCAATAGATCTGAAAAGTATGAGTACAAGTCCAACTTGATTCTCCTTTATCACTTTTTTCCACAACCCCTTAGTCAGTATTTCCCCAATACTGGGAGGAAGGAGATCCAATGTGGCATGAAAGCATTACCACCAATATACTGCTCTTTCAACCATCCCCCAATAAACTATGGTCCCCGAGAAAGCCTGGCTTCTTCACTGGAAAATTGCCTGAAAAAGAGACTTCAGCACAAGGAGAAGGAAGAATTGATAGATTTTTCAAATCAGAAGTAGTTTAGTGCTGATGTAACATTAAAGGTTACATTAATAACACACTCCATTCATAGTCCAGCAAAAAGTAAATTAGTCATCAGTTATTAATCAGAAAACGTACCTAGAGCTCTCCTGCTAGCTATCATGCCATCCACTAGAGGGATAACCATATTGAATTTTCCAGTAGCTCCTTGTACTTTTACCCTGAATAATCCAGTATTGAGGGGATGGATGAAAATCACTGGCACTTCTTTTTCAGGAGTAGCAGATCTTAAAAACCACATAAGTTACCAAATCAATGAACATTTAAATATATAAGCAAAGCAATAGTTTTTGAAGCTTTCACTTTCTAAATAATATAAAAAGTAAAACATTATTAGCAAAGATGTCAACTATACCCTGACTTTTATTTTTCCAACCTCAGCAGGAGACCAAATGTAGACAGTATTACAAAACTGATGCCAGCTATACAGCAGATATACAGGCTGGCTTAATACCCACAAATATCAGTAGAAATGTTGGAAGTAACAGAAGCAAGCTGCAAACCTAAGAACCAGAGCTCATGTGTGGCATTGGCACAAAGTACAAAATCATTAGCAAGAGGTATTAACTGCAACAAGTTTAAGTTTCATTAGGGAATAGTTTTCTTGCCCACACCATGAAAAATATACTTGGAAATGAAGTAAACATGCTTCCACCTATACACACTTGACATGCCTATTTGTCACAATTTACTGGTTAGGACTTGATTGTGGTAATGCCTAACTCACAGATTGCATATGAACAGACTATGCCCACACAGAAACAGCTGCAGCGAAAAGGTAGAGAAATTAAGTCATACCTCAGTGAAGTGCTGCTATTTGTTGTAGTTTCTACTCCAGTGCTAGTCTCTGAAACCAAGTCAGAGAGGGGGAAATTCTCTGCAAGGCAAAGATAACAATAAATAACAATAATAAATTTTGCAATACATTTTCAAGTCCATAAAAAGTTTCAAGACAACACAGAAAAAATCTGGAAGCTAAATCAAATTTGTTATTGTAGGTAGCAGCACATAGATAATTCTGACTAATTTCAGAAAAAATAAAGAGGACTGGAATTTGGATGGGAAATTACTAGAAAATGCCAAGGCTTACATCAGATAAAGAATCACATACCTATGTCATCATAGCGTTCAACCCAAACCACATACACCTTGGTTTCAGGTCCCATTGGGGGAATAGCCCGACCTTGTGGCAACTTCTTTGATCTGGAAGTTGGACTGAGCTGTTGCAAATATATATATATAAAAAAACAAGTGTTCACCAGTTGATCAAAATTAGCAATGTGTATTCAGTTCTAAGAGTCTGAAGGAAATTAACAAATTTCAGCAACATGTAACTTATGAAACAATTCACTAACAATAAACGTCTTACTGTGAAACTAAGTACTGCCCAAGACTATATCACACGCAATTGGCAATAAAAATACTGTATTTAATAAGACATTTCCCTATGATAAAAAAGTGTATTGGAAGAAGATACAACCTACATGCCAATTAATGCCATTATTATGTTAAAATTGTATGGCAAAGCAGAACAGCAGAGACTCACATCTATTAAATTCTGTTGGCTCTGCTTTCAACTGATCTTTCACAAAATTCTCACTATTTTGCTATAGATATAAAAGTCATAACTTATATTTAAAGTTCAAGTCTAAATTTATTCACACAGAATAAACTTGCCCTCTGTGAAGTACTGAGATTGTCTGTATGATTGGGAAAGAGCTCAAGTGTCAGTGCTTGCTGCTTTAGTATCCCAGGTAGGAGATCCATGTTAGAATCACTTTCTTGGTCTGAGACATTGCTTTCTAATGAATCTGCTGAAACCCAAAAGAAAGAAGTTTCTTAAAACAAGAAGTCCATCAACTCCAAATCCATTTTGAATGCCAAAAGTACTTTTCCAGACAGCTCAATTCACTTAAGAGCAGAAAAAGCCCACAATGCAATTGGGAGCCCTGCAGTTTCCCTAGTCTGCATCCAATAGCCATATCTGGTTCCATCATAACTGTGCAAATAAAATGCAAACAGAGGATTATGCGAAACTTTTAGTGATCCAGCTCAGTTTTTCTCAATTTTGACTGGAAGCAGCTTGACAGAATTTTAGGCAGAAGACTTTCCTATAACTTACTACGCAGAAACATTTCTGTATGTACTCGAACATTATGTTCTCCCCATAAGAGACTTTATATGTTATTGACATGTCACAAAACTTGAAAACAAGGTGACCTAAACATTTGTATTCCTTATTTGAACCACTTTAGGAATTTCTTTAAAATGCATTTAACACTTCACAAGAGAAGTGGGTACATATTAAAAGCTTAACAAATAATGACTTGGCAAAAGAAATGGGTGCAGACCACAGGAACGTGTATCAGTAAGCCGAAACCACCTATGGCTTTCTGCAGCAGAGAGGAAAAAATAAATCTTGTTCCAGCTTAGAGTGACAAAGTAAAAATGGATGCTCCACATATTTTTGATACGCATCAAGTTCTACTGCAATGCAGGATGCCGTTCTAATATGAATGCTGAAATATTTCTCAATCAATTACAGAATCAAGTGGGTACATATTAAAAGCTTAACAAATAATGACTTGGCAAAAGAAATGGGTGCAGACCACAGGAACGTGTATCAGTAAGCCGAAACCACCTATGGCTTTCTGCAGCAGAGAGGAAAAAATAAATCTTGTTCCAGCTTAGAGTGACAAAGTAAAAATGGATGCACCACATATTTTTGATATGCATCAAGTTCTACTGCAATGCAGGATGCAGTTCTAATATGAATGCTGAAATATTTCTCAATCAATTACAGAATCAGAGGCACATGTAGTATACTTACTTAAGGACTCCACAGGCGAAGGAACAACGAAAGCGATTTCTGTAAGAGCATCTGCATAATACAATGCCTTCCTTTGCCCATTGAAAATACTGGCTCCCATGTCTTCTGAACAGATTACTTCATCTGAGAAGAGAAAAAAAATAAAATCAAGGAAAAGCCTTTCAGCCCTGTTCTGGACTTTATTAAAAGAGCTGTGCTCTTCTAATATTTTGAAGATTAACCTACTTCCCAACCAACAGTCCCCAAATCAACAACTTGTTCTTTGGTTAACTGAAAAGATTTTATATGCTGTGTATGCTGCATCTAAAGATCTGTAGACTGGATGTACCTATTCCAACATAAGCATGAGAAGAGCAATAGTCTCAGGACACCTCATTGCTTAAATCCATGTGTGAGGAGAAGGAGCAATTCTGAGCAATTAACTGTCCCAAATCACTGCAGAATGATTATATTTGCCCTCTACAAAGAATTCTCTGCTAAGATCATTTAGTCCACCAAGATCGTGCTCAAATGGAAAAGATGGGGAAGGGGAAATGGAGTTGTTTCAGTATGTTACTCTGTCCCAAACCTAAGAAAGCACATCACCTTGCTCTGACCCCTCCTCATCGCAGACGCTGTTGATGGACCAGCTAGTTGAAACATGCCCTGTCCATCCAGGGTGCTTGCCCACATCAACAGACCATCCAAGAGATAGCAAGAACTCTAAGAAGTGTGGCTGAACATTTCTGGAAGACTCTACATTCTTCAAAATCTGGGGAGGAAAAGACCAGTATAGCAGAAAAAAGCAAAAGCTATAGAGGCAATTTCTTACTAACACTGTTGTGGAAATCAGCACTTTCTTTTGCATTTTTAGAATGTCCAGAATAGCTGCCTTGAAGTATCAAGCAATTTGGCTGGTACAGTAAATAAGATAAATAAGACTAACTGTACTATATGTCAGTGAGGTAGACTGGAGCAGTCTATGCCATCTATTCAAACAGAAACACTACAGAATGTCTAAAGCAGATATACAGTACTGTGCAAAAGTTTTAGCCAGGTGTGAAAAAATGCTGTGAAGTAAGAATGCTTTCAAAAATATATATTGTACTG